GCCGGTCCAAAATATGAATACAACCTCGGCGCTGAGGAGCCGGTCGTGAGATGAAGATAAGGCGTTGTGAGCCCGTCCAGAAATGACTACGCCAACTCTGAGTGAGCGGTCGTAATATGAGAACCTCGACATTGAAAGGCCGGTTATAATACAAGGACGTCGGCACTGAAATGGCCAGTCCAAAATATGATGACACCGGAGGAGGGGTGTCGGTTGTAATATGAGGACCTTGGCACTGATAGGCCGATCCTATATATATAAGTAACGGTCGTCCTCCATGAGATGGGAGGAGAGACCGGTCTTCAAATGAATTAATGATGATCAATATGAGCCCTCGGGGTGCAATACGGCCCTCGGGCTAGGGGGTTAGCCCACTATTTAGGCGTTCCTCGCTAATGTAGGTCGTCTAAAGTACTTTGAGATGGCGATAAGCGTCCCTTGAGGTGACCCTCATGAGTACCTCATGTACCAAGGTGTCACTAGTATTCTAAGGTCAGAATTCATATGCGTTGTCGGAACAATACAATGCCCTTAAAAGACGCCCCGATCACTAAATAAAGAGGACCGGGAGGCGGACCGAGGGACCCACATAAAAATCACAATCATCAAATGACGGCGATTATTTGTCACTTGAGCTTAGCTCACATTATTTAATTCGGGGATTTTAATCCCTAATAAATAACGGTGACCACAACAATAACAATAAAAATAATAGCAACAATATTGCTATTTTTCACTATTTAATGTACAAATAGGAGAGTAGCAGATACTTAGCTTTTGATTGGGCTGAATTCCCATTGTGTTGCTAAAATTAGTTCTGCTGAAGAACATAAGTAGGCCCAAGATGGGCCGGCTGCACTGCACTGCTCGGCTTAGCAGGCCTGTTCCTCCTCCTCGCCAGGCCGCTAGTCAGACATACCAGAGATTCTTAGGCCTTCCCCATCATTCCTCGAGTAATAGCTTAACTGTCCAGGGATAATCGTCTTCAGCTCCATAGGAAAACCGAGGAGGGAGGACCTTATTAGTTAGCAACAGAGCCCCAAAATCGATTCTGTCTTCACCCATGCTCTGCCGCGCGCTTGGCCCAAGGGCGTCGAGGTGAGAGGCCGCCATTCACAGTGAACGTCGCCTCAGAGAGGGAAGCCGCCCAGTTGCGACCGCTGGCGGATTGCCAGTGTCATCCGAAAATCAGGGATTAGAAGCTTAGATTTTCGACCGGATAAAGCTCCATCTGGATTGGCCTGATGTTGGAATACACACGTGATTTTGCGATTTCCCTTTGAATGCAGTGATTCTCTACCGGACGAGTTCGGATCTTGGCCAGCAATGATGATGATTCCAGATCATCAGATCACCAGTATTGATATGCTAGCGACTCCTTCGTCTGAAGTGTGGATCGTCATGCCTGGGATCCGGGATGCGACCCCATACTCCTTTTGGATTCGCCCGTGCAGTATATCTCGGGATCTGCCAATCGGAGCATTGAAGTGTTCTTCGATCACTCACAGATCTGGAAACTCCCGATGAACATTTCCAGTTTTTTTCAGAAACTGCCGTGCATTGTTTTTGATTTTAGGAGGATCTAACTTGACTTGAGTTCAATCTCTCAATGAAAGCACCGTTTGATGATCTATATTGCCTAGATCTAGAAGAAGAAGGAGAGAATGAACCACACTAGAGAGAAGAAGAGTTTAGCATAAAATCAACCCCCCTTACAAGATAGGCATAGAGCCTATTTATAGGAAAAAATGGGCTAACCTAGGGAATAGCGGGTTAGGCCCAATACAAGGAATAATCGAATATAAATAGGACCCTCGGGCGTATAAAATGCCGTTGGGCCGATACAAAGCACGAGCTAGGCCCAATAGAATAAATACATCATCTTGAGTACCCCCGGTCCTGGATAATATATATCCATCAGTACGGTACGAGTATCCTAGAGTATCTGATACGGGAACGTTTCTGATATGCCGATAAATTTCGCCAACTTTCATTTTTTGGCTGTCTCAGTAACTTTATCATTTTTCCTTTTAAGTAAAGAATTTTTTATTTCAATTAATTCTTTTTCCTCTGCACAAATCTGAACCACACAATTTTTTAATTCTTTTTCCTCTGCACAAGTTTGTTTCCTGATGACACGATTAATTCTTGTTTCCTGATGACTGTCTTTTCACCGAGCTTGCTTGAATTAATCGTGTCATCAGGAAACCTGCAGAGGAAAAAAAATTAATTTGATACTACGTATTTCTTTTTCTTCAAATCAGAACGGAGGAAGTACTACGTACTTAAGTCCTTTAAAACAAATTGCGACACGAGAATTTGTGATTCCTTTTAGGTACTTCTTTTTACACTATTCATATATCTTACTTTGAGTATGATTTTGTAATAATATATATAATCAAATATATCATCCCTCTTCTTAAAAATGGCTAACTTCAATAACTTTGTTATTGAGGTTGATGATAGGAATGTCTTTGAAGGAATTACGGATCTCTCATTGCAACAATGGAATTGCTGGTCGAGAGTTCACAGTTTCACACAATCCGGAAAAAGCTCAAGGAGTATGATTGGATGATAACTCTCATGCGGCCTGAAATTAATAAGGCCGCCGAATTCCTAGCTTACCGAAATACTTCGATTAAAACCAAAACTTTTAATTTCAATCATTTTGTTGGTTTCTTTTTTTTTTATTTTGTTTGGAAGCAGATGACTTATATTGATAAGAGAGAGCATAAGCAAGATACAAACTGACAAAGAACTCAATGTCTACTGTTGGTCCAAAATAGGACGCTCGTAGGCTTTTAGGAAAGCTACGTACGACACTCAAGCAAGAATTAGGAAATTACGAATATGGAAAGTTAGCCAGAAATAGCATCTCTGTATTTGAAATTTGAATTGCCTTTTATAGGCGATTACAAATGGTAACTGCCGAACATAATAATGACTAAATTAATTACAACATTAATACGGAATTAAACACATAATTAAGTAGCGCATTGATTGTTGGCCGTTACTCTTCCTGACTGGCAGGTCAGCCTGGCTGGCAGGCTGGACGCTTGAGCTCCCTCCTACTGGACTGGACGGTGGGCTTCCCGCTAGGTTGGAGGAAGGCTTTTGACCGGGCTGGAGGCAGGCTCCCGGGTAGGCTGGAAGGCAGGCTCCTCGTTGGGCTGGAGGCAGGCTCCCACCTGGGCTGGACCGCGGGCTCCCAGCTAGGCTGGTGGTGGGCAGGCTCCTGGCTAAGCTGGAAGGCAGGCTCCCCACTGGGCTGGAAGGCAGACTCCCCACTGGGCTGGAAGACAGGCTCCCGGGTAGGCTGGAAGGCAGGCTCCCTGCTGGGCTGCACGGTAGGCCCTCCACTGGGCTGGAAGACAGGCTCCCGGGTAGGCTGGAAGGCAGGCTCCCTGTTGGACTGGACGGCAGGCCGCCCTGGGCTTTCACTCTTTGATGGGCCTGATCGGTTGGGTCGGAATGAGCTCTGGATCACTGGGCTTGGGCCTGCTGGTCCAAGTCCGGGGCCTGGGCCGATTAGGCACTGGGCTTCACCTTTTCAGACTCATGAGAGAGCTTTGCCCAGACACAATCAAAACTCTTGGAAACCTGCAAAGACAGAAAAAAAAAGAGAAATAACAAATCGTCAAAGCTCAGGCCAACATGGAGTGCACCAACAAAGAGAGCACCCACCTTGGTTGCCCAGTGGCACAGCTACCGGTTGCCTGAGCGACGACTGTCGGCACAACGACGGCCGCCGGTCCCTAACCAACACTGTCCAGTCAAGGAAAAGTTGAGGGTAGGAGGAACTGCTCGCGTGGGGCGCCGGACAGCCTGCGGCAAACCACCTTCGAGCTCGTGGGGAAAGCTGGGCGCCTAGCTCAACTCCTCGAAATTCCACCGACCAAGAGGGAGTTCAGACCTGATGGCCAAATCCGAGGGGCTACACCGGCCAGTTACAATGACATGCGGCAGCAGCCGTCCAAACAGCCTGGCCGTCAGGAAGAGTAACGGCCAACAATCAATGCGCTACTTAATTATGTGTTTAATTCCGTATTAATGTTGTAATTAATTTAGTCATTATTATGTTCGGCAGTTACCATTTGTAATCGCCTATAAAAGGCAATTCAAATTTCAAATACAGAGATGCTATTTCTGGCTAACTTTCCATATTCATACTTTCCTAATTCTTGCTTGAGTGTCGTACGTAGCTTTCCTAAAAGCCTACGAGCGTCCTATTTTGGACCAACATCTACCGTCTGCCCTTGAATTATCCTCAAATTCAGAACAGTAGCTTCGGTATAGTCCACTTACTCTTGTACGTTTTATTTTCAATAAATAGACGAGGTGTTCCCTGGCCCTCACCCCGGGAAAAAAAGAAAGAAAAAAAATCAAATTATTATGTATAAAATGTTATTAAATTTCTATAATGTAAACTTCTAAAATATTACTCCCTCCGCCCCGCTAACAATGAGACAAGATGGAGTAACACGTAAATTAAAAAAAATGGTTTATGTGGTTGATATTGAATTGATAAAGTAAGAATAAAGTAAGAATGATTTAGAGCCAAAAACTTTACCAAATTTGGTATGAGACAATCTTAGTGGGATGAACCGATAAAGTAAAATGAGACAGTCATAGCGGGACGGATGTAGTCACTTTTTTAAAAATGTACTAATACGTAATTGAATATAATTACAATAAAAAAATTATTAGCAAAAAGTTAAACTGTTGGAACCTTTAAAGAATGGTGGAAAGTACTTCCTCCGTCCCCCAATTAAGTTTCCGGTTTGACTCCACGCGTATTAAGAAAATAAATTTGACTTTACCGTGGAGTGCACTGTTTTGCACTATTCAAACACTGTTTGACACTGTTTGGTACTGTTGTGCACTGTTTGACACTGTTTTGATATAGATAATTTGCCAAATAAGGAAAGTAAGAAAGTGTGAAGTTAATGAAGGGATTGTACAAAAAGGAAAGTTGTAACTTAATTAGAGGATGAGGGAGTATAATTTAGGCACAGATTTTAAGACACTTTCCAATAGCCAGCGCAAGAAAAATGACCACCGGCGACGCCGCCATCCCACCAATGGCCAACACCGATCCCGTATCTCAACCACCACCACTGGATAAAACGCCACCACAGCCCCCACCGCCACCGCAAGATCCAACGCCACCCCCACCGCTATTGCCACCGCCAACGCATCTGCAGTCCTCCCCAATTTCAACCACCCCTGCACCCATCCGCTCTATCACCCCCGGCACTACCTCTGCCAACATTACTCCTCGCTTGCCGGAAACTGACGTCATCAACTTACCCAGTTATTCCAGTAAGTCTGCTCATCTAATTTTGTTTACTTATATATGTGTATGTGTGCTCTGAAACCCCTTCCCAATTGGCAGGGTGGTTTGCATGGAACAGAATCCATGATGGAGAAATCAGGTTCCTTCCTGAATTCTTCGATGGAAGATCCCCTTCTAAAAATCCTATGGTGTACAAATACTACAGAAACACCATCATTCGTCGGTTTAGGGAAAACCCTACCCGAAAAATCAACTTTACCGAGGTCCGAAAGACTCTAGTTGGGGATGTTGGCTCAATCCGAAGGGTTTTTGATTTCCTAGAGACCTGGGGTTTGATTAATTACACAGGCTCAACTTCCAGCAGGAATCAGCTGAAATGGGAAGACAAAGAAGCTAAGGCCTCTTCCCATGGTGGAGAAGCCAATGCAAGTTCAGTGGATATTCCGGTCCCAAAGAAGAGATTGTGCAGTGGCTGCAAGTCACCTTGCAGCTTTTCCTGTTTTTCTTGTGATAAGGTAAAACAACCACCTCATTCATCAAGTTTGGATTTTTACAGACTATGGACCTCTATTTCAATTGTTTGAAGCTTATACACAGTACACCTAATGAGGTTGTTCATCATTTATGGTAAATGCAGTATGATATGATTCTTTGTGCAAGATGCTATGTACGAGGTAATTACAGGGTAGGCTTACATTCTTCAGATTTTAAAAGAGTTGAGCTTAACGAAGAGGCAAAGACGGATTGGAATGAGAAGGAGACATTGCTCCTCCTAGAAGCTGTCATGCATTTTGGCGATGACTGGAAGAAGGTGGCAGGGCATGTGGGTGGTAGGAGTGAGAAAGAGTGTGTTTCCCGCTTTGTAAAGCTGCCTTTCGGTGAGCAGTTTGTTGGACCTCCAGAATCTGCTGAAGCGGATAGTGAACCATTTTCCGCCAAAAGGGTGAAACTGACACCCCTTGCTGATGCAAGCAACCCTATAATGGCTCAGGTAAAGTCTTTGATTCTTTGCATGGCTTTAAATTGCGGTTGCAGCCTGCAGCGCAACCGTGTCACACTGCAATTGAGGTGTTTTTAATTTACAGTCAAAACCGTAGCGTGCCCGCATAAGGGTTGCATCAGGACTGCAACACTAACTTAACTTTTTTTTTAATTCATCATTTTCATTTTCATTTACCCCAGTGCCGCAAAGGCTCCCACCTATGGTGGGGTAATGGGGGTCAGATGTACGCAGTCTTACCCCCTGTACTAAAGCACAGAGAGACTGTTTTCGGATGACCCATAGTGAAAATCGCGTCTAAAATTGCATGGACTGACTGTTGGTCCATAACAAAGAAGCGCAGTCAGTTTAGTGAGTCATTTTGCTTTATTCCATCATAATCTCAAGCCAAAAAATAATGAATCTTTGGCTCCATTGCAAATGATGGATTTTTTTTAATTCATGTGAATGTAAAATTAGTTCACAGCGTATTGGATGCAATATGCATCACAACTACCTCAATAGCCGTAACCGCATTTTAAAACCATGGTTCATTGTATTGCAATTATCTGTGTCCTTGAAGTTCCTAGAATTTTCTTATACATTAAACACTATGGACATGTTTACTTCATAGGTTAATAAGCTGTGTTTGCGCTAAATCCCGTGTTAATAAGCATATCCTTAATAATCAATGCTTGGTAAACGTGTATTTACTTCAAAGGACGATGTGTATGTTAGGGCACTATTTAATTCTAAAATGTCAAAAACAACCCTCTATTTTACTATAACAAAGTTAACAAACCATCGCCCTTCTTTGACATGTACATAACTGTTTCCTGCATATAGAAGATGCACCTGTAAATTTTCCCCGTGTCTTCATATTCCTTCATCTTCCACTCATCTCTCTTTAAAGTGTAATATACTTGAGATATCGGTTACGAAATATATAATTTACTGGATGAAGTTCACTGTATACAATAAGAATGAAACAGGATTATCGGATAAGAATGAAAATGATGGGTGGGTTCGATAGGACACAAATGGAAATAAGAATTTGATACGTGAAAAAGCAGGGGCACTCTAGTCAATATAGAAAAGCTCAAGTCATTGCTTAATTAAAAGGAATTTTATCAATTCAGGACCCGAAAGATAGATTAATTATCAACTCAGGACCTGAAAGAAAAAATGCATCGATGTAGGATCCGAATGATGAAAAACTATCAATTTAGGACCTGAATGATTGAAAACTATTAATCTAGGACCTAAGTTGTCATAATTTTTTTATTAAAAAATTTTAAATATTATTTCGTTTTATTAAACTAATAAACTTTTGTGAAGAAAAGTTTATCAAAAATTAGTAATGGAATTAATAAAAAATTAAATAAATCAAAACCTATGAAACGTTAGGTCCTAAATTGATAGTTTTCCATCATTCGGGTCTTACACCGATACGTTTCATCTTTCGGGTCCTGAATTGATAATTAATCTATCTTTTGGGTCCTGAATTGATAAAATTCCTAATTAAAACATGGCGTAGCGGCAGTTTATTAAACACTGGGTTATCCGCTGAAAGATGTTTACTTCATTTGTTTTAATAACCTAATCACATAATTGACAATGAAATAAACATGTCATGTACTCATATGCATATACACACATACATACATATATTTGTGTATAATGTATGATGCTTTTTTCGTGATGAAATGTTTAGCTCGTAATAACTTAAACATTGATTATACTCTAGAATTGTATCAGAATACATAGGATTGTACTATTTTTATTCAATAAGAAAACCATTTAACTCTTACAGTCTTACTGCAAGCATATGCAATGCTAGGGTTGGGCAATCTGTGCACCAGCACAGGTTCTGTAAAATGTCTTTTCGATGTGTTACCTATGTCCTGTTAAATTTGGGACATGAGGTTTGGCACTAATCGTATTGTTGATATTTAATTTGTTAAAGTAAGAATGATTGCGAGATGAAGGACGGACTGACAAAATGGGACAGAGAGTAAAATTGTACTATGAAATCTTAAATGAATGACTTTTTTCCGACCCGACTCAAATTCAATGTTTTGAGAGAACTGGCTATGGCACGGACTGAATGAATGAATGCGTGGTACTAGTTAGTTGATAATTTCATCCAACATGGATGGATTATTATGGGAGTAGATTAATTGCACAACTAAAGGGGAAACTATAGCATTCTGCTTTGTATATTCAATTGAAGGTTTTAGTGGTTCTCTTTTTTTTTCCACAGGCAGCTTTTCTCTCAGCTTTAGCAGGAGCTGAGGTTGTGGAAGTAGCAGCTCATGCTGCATTAAAATCTCTATCTGAATTTGGGACGGGAAAATTTAAGAGTCATCTATTATCTTTACCTACTAATGAAGAAAAGAAAGGTATGTTTTTTCCTACTCACATGCACATTAGTTATTTATTTATGTATTAATTTTTTTTGCACTCACAGTCCTCTTGAAAAACATCAACAGAAAGGAATGCTGGGATGTTGGAGTAGTTTCATATTAAGCCTCACAGAACTGTCGGAGATGATTAAATATCCCCCTTTTTGTTGTGGCTAATAATTAACAATATTTTCAAAGTGTTACAGCATGCTTAAATCCCCAAGGAAAAATGTAAATAGGCATCGAAATGGAAATTCCATGTTTTGTTAGAAATACTTTTGTCTATGCTGTTTCATAATCTTAAATGCATCCAATAACTCTGGTTGAGGCATATTTGTCTTTTTTCCCTCACTCTCAGATGGTGCTGTTTCATAATCTTAAATGCAGAATTTGATGATGAAGCATCCAATGATTCCCATTCTGTACATAGAATTGAAGGAGCTCTTGCTGAAGCACAGTTGCAACTTGATAAAGAAGAACTGAATGTGGAGACTGCAATTTCTCAAGTTTCTGATCAGGTATGTATTTGAAGAAGACCTTTTAAAACTATACGGAGTATATATTTATGGTTTATGAGCTGCCATTTTGTGCCCTCACTTTTCATTGGATTGTCACACAAATATAAGGGAAATTTCCCTAAATAGAAATGAAAACAATATGAAATTCCCAAATAGGAGTGTTGTGTTCTCCCCATAAATACGAGTTAATTACGGTTGTCCTGAAATTATATTGCCATATTTTGGCATTACCAGACATTATTATGACAAACATTTTCCAAGCGTAGCAATAATTACTCCTCTTCAGGGCTATGTGTAAAGAAGGACCAGACCGGGCGGGTTGACCCAGAACCCGGTCACCTGGCTCCAAATCTGGTCCGGTTAAGCTCCAGTGACCCGGGTAGAACCTGGATGCACCCGGAACCACACAAACCCGGCATTTTTCAAAAACCCGGAAAATGGGTTGAAATGGCACATGCGGGAATCAAACTTGCGCCATCGTTTGTTGATGAACGTATACCTTTTAGTAGTATATATTCCGTATTACATTAGTACGTACCATTTTGAGCTACGGCCTATTCATTGAGCATTAACTAATTAACTAACTAAACAATTCATAATAACAATAATAATGCATATACATTCATGCGTATATTATATATTATACTACCGATTATATATTATATTTCATATCTCAATTATACGTGAAGATATATTTCCATTACATTTTAAAGATTTTGTAATTGATGTCATATCTATATTTATTATCCACCTACATCCAAATCTATTTTAAATTTTGTTAAAACCAACTCTACATAATGATTTCTTAATTAGTTTATATTGTATCATGATTATTAATTTATGAAAGAATAACATTAGAATTTAATATTATATACGTATAAATATTAAATATTATATATATAGTGTTGACCGGGTTTTCTGGTCGTTGACCGGGCTGACCCGCTAGGTCCGGGGTTGACCCTTGACCTGGCCATCGCTCCAGGCGCTCTCTGGTCCGTTTTTTACAACATAGCTCTAGGGGGATATAATTCGCCTATACTATAATTTCACATTGTGTTTACTCCTATTTAGAGTAATTTCGGCATATATAATTATCCCAAAACCATCATTAGCCAGAAAGAAAGAAAAGCAATTTTGACTGGGATTTCATACGAAGATAAATTACATTTATACTCACTTCCTCTAATTTATTTGAAATGCATATATTTTCAGAGATTTTAAAACAGATTGAGACATACAAGTATTTTTTAGTAAAAATTCACAATAGAAGCAAATTATTGGTAGTAGATATCTTTCTAACATAATGACCAGTACGAAATTGCAGATAAAAGAGATTGAAGAAAAGATAGCACATTTTGAGGACATGGAATTACACACAGAAAGGGAGTTACACTTGGTGCAACAACTCCAGAATCAGCTGTTTGCAGACCGGCTTAATTTGATGTTGAATGATAATGCTAATAGCAAAGTTACTTCTGAAAAAGCTGGGGCATAACTAACAATGAGTGAATAACAAGATAGAGTAATGTTATATAACGCTCAACACCATTTCTCCTAGGTGCTAGCAACTCAGATCTTATTAGTTGGCTGTGCATTCTAATTTCTCAAGCCTTAGTTTAAGAAAGTTGGTTTCACTTGCTCCCATATATATATATATATATATATATATATATATATATATATATATATATATATATATATATATATATATATATATATATATATATATATATATATATATATATATTGTGTACGCCATTTTCATAGGAGGCAATGTACCATCCATCCTGAGAAGTTTAGGGCATGTGTTTTTGGCTTGCTCACCTCAGACTGTTAGGAGAATGTAATGTAACATTATATTATTTGAATAGTGTTTCCAATTAGATATCTAAGTGTCTCTGCAATAGCTTTTAGTGACAGAACATTTGCATTGGCCATTGCTTAGATGAACCTGAAAGATGCCACTGCCTGCATTTTAAAAAGGATGAATGACTTGTGACTTAAAAATATGGAGGGGGTGGGGGTGGGGGGGGGGGGGTGGGGGGGGGGGTGGGGGGGGTGCAGTTTACCTTCTCAACTTTGGCACAATATTTCTCTGTCTCCTCATCTACACACTGTATGGTGCAGAAAACAAATAAAACTAGTCATCATGTGTACACAGTTCCCCTCCAGGAATTTAAAGAGAAGTGTATGTTATTTTTTTCTCCCAAGTATGCCACTATGGTCTCTTCACTCTTGTAATCAATTAATATTACCTGACCAGTAACAGTATACAATCGGTTGTATAAACCATTGTTCGCTATTCCAAGAACTGTGAATAGATGCTGCATGCTTTGTCCGGGATTTTGCAAAGTGTAATCAATGTAATACAACCCTGAAAGATGATGGTTTTTTTTTGAAAACAAATCATTTCGTACAACATGTGATTGTATTCTTCTGAACAACTGTTGAACGAAGCGAATTACGGAGTAGTATTCTATTCATGAATCAGGATGATACAACATAAACTTGAATTCCAGGGGAATAATATGATTGATAACTTGAAATTTTTGCTGCATTTTGTAAAAAGAATATCTTTAATTAATTAATTAATTAATCTCATCACAAGTTGATGATATCTTCACTAGTCGAGTGCTAACAAAATTCATGAATATCACTAGTTATGGTACCATTCACGTTATTTATCCCATAGATGTCTGTAACATTCTCTCCTTCCCTAAATAGTCTTCATAGTCTTGTTATTCATGCAGAGGTCAACTTAATTCTATTTTAATTTTAAAATTTATATACCAACTTTAACTGCACCATTGGTGAGTTTCAAACTCAATACTCCAGAAGGTAGAAATAATTCCAAATGAGATTATTATAACTAATTTTCAAAACTAGGATCCTAGCATACTTCAAATAAAGAACTGATATTTACCATTAGCAGATTTGCAATCTATTAGCTTTGCTTTTACTCCTGGAGGGCGTTTCCAGCTTCTGTCCAATCCACTAACCTGTTTGTATAACAATTGAGAGGACTAAAAGCCAAGTGTGGTTTACCACTTTTTCCTAATAGGTAGTAAGAAGACATAACAAAAAGTTTTCACCAGATTATCTGCAAAAGCATCCACTCTTCCAAAGGATCCCAATGTGGTGAAGTCAGCACCAAGAGTTGTGATCATTATGCTCACTGATGGCAGCAGAACATCTGAAAAGCTTAAAGCTCACAAAAGTTAAGCTTCAAATGAAAAAAGAAGGGAAGATTAACTACGCTCAATCTGCTCCCAATTATTAAGTCAGACTTCCCAAAACAATCCCTTGTCATTTGAACAGGCAATAAATGATAATCCTGGATCACAGTTTGGAGTTCGCTTGACGGCTTGAGGCTATGTTGTTCACATTGACTTGAGGGTATTTTGGGAACATGACACAATGATTGGGATTATTTTAAAATAACCCTGGGATGATTGTCATTTTTTTTTCCTGTAAATAAATGCCCAAAAACATACCATTTGAGCTTGAAGAAGGTTCTTGAGGATAGAAGGCAATGAGTGACCTCACCCCATCACCCTCTCCTGACCCAATTTCCCAATCTGCATGACACAATTCCTTTTCTAACTTTACATTGCAGTGTGTATAAAAAAATTAGGACAGTGATGAATATCTCAGAGAATCAATCATAGAAAACTTAAGCTAAAGTGAGGAATAATTAGTTCCATTGTATTTTCAAAAGCAATGGAATTGATATTCTCAAAATGCGAACTCTGTGATTTCAAAAATAAAGGACCAGTTTGGACGGAGGTTTTTGTGATGGGTAAGGCTTTAGAGGCCTCAGTCTGCATCTTGGATTCTTGATAAATAGAGTGTTTCTAAAGAAGAGTACAGTAGTTCAAGTGCTATATAATCTCAAACATTTTCTTATTATAAATCTCAAACATATACCAAAGTTATAGACTTAGTCCTCCAAAACCTTCCATCCAAACTGACCATATATGCTTGAAGTCAAACAAAACCAATTTTATATACATTACGTCCGCATTAAAGCATATATGATTCTAGATAATCACCTCTTCCCAACCGAATTTAATCTCCTAATAGTTACGTTATTTTCAGTAATTATGATCTCCTTTCCGCTATCAATAAAACAACGAAACAAATGTTTGAATTAAAAAAAAAGAGGCTGAAACCATACCACTCGGAATGGATACCTTAAACTTGTTTACATCATCAGTATATACATGAAACTCCTTCACTGCATCTGGAGAGTGGAGAAATTTCCAACTTATATTAGTTCATTAAAATGACAGTATCATATTTAGACAAAAGGGGCCAGGAAATCAGGTATAGGCAGTACCTTTTTGAGAATGTGCAACTGAAGTATTAAATGCAGAAAGGGAAGAGGATGCAGCAAGAAAGGTAGCTGCTTGAAGCAAAAGCTCTCTCCTTTTGCTCACTGATTGCTCTCTCACCCTAACATTAGAATTTAGAACCGAACAAGAAAAATATTGAGTTACTACGGTTTTGGTGCAGTAATCACACTGAATAATACTCTGTCCCCTCTCAATCAATACTCATTAGTCATTGCGGATTCTGAGCTTTAATAGATAAAAAAGTTACTTCCCCCGATTTAGAAGAATGGCAGGACAGCCGGTGCATGAAGGCATACCCGCAAGGCGAGGGCCCAGGGAAAGGTAACACCACAATGGTGTATAAGGAGCAAGTCTTCCTTGTCAAATTTTGACAAGAGGCTGCTCATACTTGAACTTGTGGCCTCTCTATCACACAACAACACCTTAACCAATGCACCAAGCTCCCCTTCTCTCCTTATTCAGAATTTAATTGAAATTAAAATTATAATAAAAAGTGAATTCCACTGTAAGGGCAAAGGAAATTATCCAACCAATGCAACTTGTTTGGATAGCAAATTTTTTTGGAAGCTTGGAATGATTAATTGAGACAAACAGGAGGAAGTGAAAATTAGACTGATGCTATCATTTTAGATCAGAGGTAGTATAACTAATAATATTATGTACCAAAGTTTTGTAATATTGAAGTTTCTATATTTCTATTCAATAAAACTACTAATGCAACTTTCCCCCCTTCATTACTCATCTTCCCCTTGCCCCCTTCTTTTACATTTCAGTTTTGACATTTATTTATCTCAATTTATCTCTACACTATTGATTACCACTGCAACTTTATGTAGTGGAGCAACTAAAATGAAATACATTAACCAAGAAGTAAACGAAGTATTTAGTATAAAACCACACCTCTGATCACCTTCACAACTGGGGTTCTTAAAGCAGTAAATGCACGAACTTCTGTTGTTCTTGAGCTCTGTGGAAGTTAATGTATATGGAGGCATGAAGCTACATCAGAAAACTGAGAAGCTAAAAATGGAAAAGGAGACAAGAATTAGAAGGCCAAGAAGGGAAAAAGGTGAAACCTTTGAGGTGGTGATGGGTGTCAGATACCGAGATGGGCGTGGCGGAGTGAGGAAAAAGAGATCCACAATGTGAACGCAGAGATGATATAAGAGGAAGCTCCATTTCCTTCCCCTCTGTTTGATAAAACATTGTTGTCCACTCTTTTTTTATTACTCCAATTTTTATTCTTTAATTTGGGTATTCTTTTTTCAAATTTAAATTTATTTTACAATCCAATAAAGTTTTTTAGTTTAGTTTCTAAATATAATTTATAAATATTAAAAATAGTTTATATATATTATCAGAGAGAAATTAATTAGTATTACTAATATTAGTCTAGAGGATCATTGTAGGAGATTGGATCCGGAGGATCAAAACGAATACTACGCGTATTTAGCCTAGTCATCAAAACGAATATTAGCCCAGTGATTCATTCAATGTCTACTTTGATTCTTATCCTAAACTCCAATGGCACTCACATCCTGACCCGAAAAAACATTTGGAAGGTTTTAAGTGCGGTGACTCTCGGTTCAACGACGATACACATTGTACTCGTGCGCACCAGAGGTTCATGTCCGACCCAACACTCAGGAGCTGTAACATCCACACAACCGCTGCGATTTTCGATCTTTGATCGTTTTTTCAACTTTCCCACCATTCAACAAACTGAGCTACCCATGCGGATCAATGACTACTTTGATAATACTGGTGGTAGTAATGTCTATTGATCGTTGGCAGTCTGGTTGACACTTTTTATTATAATCATTCTTCTTGTACACACTTTCTTATACACACCTTATAGACACTCTATGAGAAGGCTACTTGAGATTCATAGACAAAACATGTTCGTGAATATGTTCACCAACATATTTTGTCTGTGAACGAGATTCACAGACAAAAAATTGTCTTCTCACAGAGGTGTGTATAAGGTATATATAAGAAAGTGTGTTTAGACACATTTCTTATTTTATTACATAGAAAATAATAAAATCTGCACGAGTAGTATTTAAGGAATTTTGGCTTCTATCTGGCATTATAGCAAATGAGTTTTCATTAAAAAAAATGGCGGGGAAAAGTGTTTGTTTTACTCTTTAAAAAAAGGAGAATTTTACTATAAAAAATACTCGGTATTTGTTTATTGTTTATCATGAAAGTAACATGAGAAGTGTGGTAGAGTACGAGTGTACCACCCTTGAATGTTTGAATAAAATGTTGTCGTTGACATGAACTAAAAGCGGAGGACTTGGTGTTCAAAGCTCCCTTACATTAATTGGAATTTTGCCATTGGGTTTATTTACCCAAAAAATTTGCTAAGAGAGTTGGGAATATTTTTAAGAAATTTTATGGGAAATTTTCACAAATAGACTAAACATGAAAGTAATATCACTTTTATTTCCCTTAAAACTTTCTTTCAAATATAGATTACCTTAAAGTTTCTTTTCAAAAATGGACCATTGACACGTATGAAGCCCACCGATTAAAGTTTCTTTTTAAAATTTCTTTTCTTTCACCTAACATGTAAATTTGAATGTAAGTTTTAATCACTGCTCCACTTCACAAAAACTAATAAGAATAGTACATATAACGTGCAGGCACTTCTCAAAAAATAAAAAATATTCATCAACTCATATTGTTCATAATGTTTAGAAAAAAATAAAAATTAGAAAAATGAAATTGAATTTTAAAAACATATAAAAAAAACTCAAAATAAAAAGTAAAACTCAAAAAAATGCAAAATTGGAAAATTGTAAATTAAATTTAAAAATTAAAGAAAATGAATTTAAATTTTACAAAAAAAGTTATAAATATAAAAAACATGTCAAAACATTTTAAAAAACTTGAGAAGTATATTTTAATGTAGCGTTTTTAAATAGATAGTATATTTTATTTTATAAAATATAAAAATAAAAAATTTTATAAAAAATGTAAAATGGTTAAAAAAAATAGATAATCTTAAAATTATCAAAAATAAATAATATAAGATAAAAATATTTTGAAAATATTAAATAATACAGAGTATTAATTCTATTATTTGAGAACGTTCTAAAAGGCTCTGAAATAAATATATGATATTTTAAAACAATAGAAAAATCAAATTAAAATGTAAACAAGGTTCTTAGAATTAAAAACACTAAATTACAAATTGTTTAAATATTGAAAATCGAAAATACAAAAGTCAAAAAAAATAACAAAAATGAAAAATTAAAAAAAAGTAAAACTTGCAATATTGAACTTATACACTTTAGATATTATTATTATTATGATCAATTAATGGTTACTTTTGTTGCATATTGTTTCTTTGTGTTTTTTATTGTTTCTTCCTTTTTCTTTTTGTTTATTCATAAATCCAAATTTACCATCTTAGGTGTTTATATGTGTGTATGTGTGTGATTTTTTATTCCAAATAAGCAAGGAATATAAATATAAATATAAATAGACAAAAAAATCAAAATCAATATGCAACATTATGTAACAAAAAGCAACAGGTATAATAAAAAGCAACAAGATGCAATCAAAAGCAACAAAAAGGAACATGATTCATAAATCCAAAAGAGAAATTTTTGTTTTTTATTGTTTATTTATGTTTCCTGTCATTGGTTTATATTCATAAATCCAAAGTTCACATTTCTGAGTTTTTCTTACTTCAAAGAAGTAGCAAAAATAAATAAAAACCTAAATAAACAACAAAAAACAAGATCAACAATAAAAAAAAAAAGTAACACAATGCAACAAAATGCAACACCGTGCAACAGAAAACAACAGGAGGCAACAAAAAGCAACACATTCAATCAACAAAAAGAAACAAAAAATACATAAAAGTATCACATCAATTGTGTAATTCAATGTAGCATTTCAATTAAATACATAAAAGTATCACATCAATTGTGTAATTCAATCTAGCATTTCAATTTATTACATATATATGTATCTATCATATAATTTGGCTTTCCTTCATACCGAATTCTTAATCGATTCACAAACAATTTTTATAAATTAACAAATAAAACGATAAAAGACATATAGATAACATATAGAGAGGAGGAGAACTGAAGAGCATACCTGTGAGTAAATCAATTGAGTTGCTTGAACATAAGATTGAGAAAGTGATCGAAATCGCTTCTTGCCTTGAGCTTCTCGTCGCCGATGATGGCTTTGAGTTGGGCCTGTATTGGAAATCGGCCGAGTGTCTCCATCAATGTCGAGGAAGAAGATGAATGCCTAGCTAATTCACCGTAGAGTAATTCCCCGTGGGTTCCTGCCAACTTGTGTCTTCATTGATGGAGCCTGAAGGAACTTCATCCTCGATTCACCGAGGGATGCACTGCGTATGTTTTAATTTATGGTGTGGATTACTTTTGAAATAAAAAGTGTTAAAGTGAAAAGATGAAAGTCAGAAAATGAAAACAAAATACTTGTGTGACATAAATGAAATGTGAGGCCTAAAATGGAACCGTACGGGTAATTTCCACTTTCTTGAATTGGACTTAGCACGCTAGAGTAGCCCGGCTCATGTCATTGTCTAGCCCTTGAGGTATTTTCTTTTTCAAAATTCCTTTTGTACACCTTCTTATACACAATCAATACACCCTCGTGTATGTGAGAGTTTTTTTGTCTGTGAAACCCAGTCCACAGACAAAAACAGAATTGTTTTGTCTGTAGATGTTTTCACAGACAAGACAAGCCAGTTTTTGTCTGTGGACCGGGATTCACAGACAAAAAAAACTCTCACAGACACGAGGGTGTACTGATGTGTATAAGAAGATGTACACCAAGAATTGTTGCTTCTTTTTATAGTCTTGAAGTGTAGAGGATTCCGTTGATTCTGATTAGGGCTGGCAATATCACCCGCACCCGCGGATACTCGGTCAACACGAACCGAAAATATGCACGAAAACTCCAAAAAATATGGTTGAAAATGGATGAGGGATGGATTGAAAGATAGGTTGGATCGGGTGTGGATGAACACTCATCCAACCCATCACCCGACCCGTCACCCGCTCCATCCACCCGCACCCGCTGACCCGCATATAAATATATATACATATATTATAATATCTATTTAATAATATATTAACAATAATAATAGGAGCCCGGCCCTAATCCCGTTGAACTGCAAAAATAGTTTTGTGTTGATGTAGAAATGTAGAATTGACAACTTGAAGAAATTTTTTATCTATTTTGTTTGACAATTAGTTCTTTATTTATCATCGGCAGTGAATTAATGATTGTAATATACTTAATTCTCAAGTTTTTGTAGTTATTTTTCAATGAATTCTTAATTTTTGTCATGATTTCTCTTTATAATTTATTTATTTTGTCTTTCAAGTTTGACCTTTTGTATTCACCCGTTACTCACCTGATCCACCCGATAACCCGTTCATGATGGATGAGTTGGATGTGGATGTAAATTTTAATGGATGATGGACGGGTGAGTGGACTATGAAAAATTAACGGATGGACAACGGATGAGCCTTCACTCGATATGTTTGTTACACACTATCCATTATATTTAACTAGATCATCTCTCTATCTAAATCTAGATCTAGTATAGAATATATTATACATCAAGTACGAAAATCTGTAGAGAGGATGGAGATTGATTCTAAGGTAAAAATCGGTCATGCGGACAGATTTTGTCCTTTGGCACAAGAAATTTGGGCCATTTGGGGTGGGTTCGTGTTTTTAAAATTTCTTTTTGTTGTTGGAGTCGTTGGTCTGGACGCCTGAATGTTCTTTTTTATAGGTTAGAGGTGAATGGGTTGATAGAGGTACTAAATTTGTTGTTGTAGATTTATGTTTCTGTTGTGTAATTATCGAATCGATTTATCTTTTTATATATCACTCACTCTATGTTTAATCATAGAATTTATGATCAGATTTGGGATAACTGACTAAATACTTATTTACACATTTTTAGTACTTTAATACTCCCTCAATCCCTTTTTATTAATCAAATTTGACTTTTCAAATCAATGATGTCTAACTTTGACCGTTTATATATTTGTACACATAAGTATGGGTAATATGAAAATGTTCTTTGTCAAAAATACTATCATAAAAGTATAAAATTACTAAATTTTACATAAATATATTAGTTAAAGTTATTGGTCAAAGTTTACGATCTTTAATTGGAAAAGTCAAAGATGACTAAATT